GTTCAATCAGTTAATTTCTTTGAAATTTGTTTTCTCACCCTTAAAATAGAGATCATTGTAATATGGATTTATTAGCATTTTTGTAAGTATTAAGTGAGACACTACATGTAAAGGTCTTGCCAGTGCTTGGCATTAAAAAAGAGGTCCATCTCTCCCAAAAAATAAGTATTTATATATTTGCATCATAATCACCAATATCAACTCACATTTTCTTGTTATGCTTCCTCTGCTTTATTTTCATCATCCATTTCCTCTTCTTAGCTTAGGTATACTTTGAAACAAGATAAGGTACAGACTAGGGAAATAAATAAGCAAGTATATATGTTTTATTTAGGCACCAAAGATAAGACATACAAGTTAGAGATGCTACTGCATGTTACTTATGGGGCACAGGCTAGGACTTTATGGTAGATGGAATTTCCATGGTCCTAGGAAAGAAAATCTGCAACACAAATGATTTATGAAATTAGGCTCTGGGAGAAAGATGGGGTAGCATTACTACTTAGCCAAGGGAAAAGGCATATTACCTTCACATCATTTGGGTTTTAAAATAGACACTGTGAACTGACTGACGGACAGCCCAAATTACTGTAGAGAAAAGGAACAGGGCTTGAATGATACAGAATATACATGAATTCCACATAAGGTGCCATGTCAATGATCCTTTTATTTAATGTCACCATTTTCATTAGTCAATTGAGATGGAACAAGAAAAAAAAATGTCAGAGCTGTGAAATCACAACCAAAATGTGTTATTTCAAGAAATACTTGGAGCTGATTTTAATGGTGTACATCTAAGCCTCTGCATTGGACTGAAATTTGGCATATTTCTTAGTACAGATGTAATTTATTTAAATTCTTTTAGTTGTTTTTAAATTTAGAAATATGCATAGACATAAAATTTTGTATGTTTCACATTTTTTTCCTGCACATTTGTGAATCAAATTATCCAATTTATTAATTGGTTTGTTGTTAAACTGAGCTAAGGACAGCTTTCATTTTTGTTTTTTCAATTTTTCTTTTCTGGTGCTATGTATTGAACTCAGAGCTGGATTGCGTTAGGCAAACAATACCACTAGGTTAAATACTCAACGCTGAACTTTCATTTCTCATAAGAAGAAATGAGAAGTGTAGTAATAAAGGGAATAAGGGACTTTCTCTCCTTGAGTAAATGCATGGTAATACTTGCGGCTAGATTCAGGATTCAGGTCCTTCCTTGGGCTTTCTAAGTAATTTAATCATACCAAGTAAAAGTGAGGTTGTTTTCATTTTTAAAGACATTTATAATCATTTGGAGTGACAAGCATACTCCACAACTAGTACAATTGGACATTTCTGTTCTCTTCATTCCTTTGTTCCCTCAGCCTCTAGTGTCTCTGCCCCATCATTGCTTTCCTCCCTCCAGTTTCCACCCCATTACACTGCTATCCTTTCTTACCCTATCCCCACTTGTTGTTATGCAGGGTAGTTTGCTGAAGGTTCTTGGTTGTTTAACCACTTGGACTTTTTAAAAACTTTAACAGCCCCAATTACCTTTCTGAAGTCTTTCTCCTGAATATGGGTCTCTATGGGAGAAGTTCCAGTGAAAAGGATTTTCTTATGTGCATGTAGATAAATTATACTGTATTCGAAATGTGTGTGTTTAAGAGTTTGGGCTGGAACATGACTAAAACACCCAAATGCTTGAAGTATCAGAAATTCATGAACTGAGATGGCTAAAACAATGACGCTGTAGTCCTTTATCTTTCAGACATTGTGTTGCCATGACAAAGTGGCAGAACAGAGCATAAACATGGGCCACATGATCAGCTTGTAAGTCCTGGCTTATAAGAACCCTAAGGGGATTCCAATGAAATAATCAGTGCCTTGGACTTATCGCTGTCCTGGTCAAAAATTTCCAATAAATTTCTACTGCAGTGGGTTCTGTGAAGAGAATTTTAATCTCTTTATAGCTTAGACAAGTGAGTGGAATATAACACTTCAATTAAGAAATGTATAATATAGGTTAAAGCCTTTATCAGTCAGGATAGATGAGGTTATGCTGCAATAACAAACTCTTTCTTACTTAATGTGTACAGCCATTATGGGTTGGTGAGAGAGAAGGAAAACTTATGCTCACTGTAGTCATTTATTGATCCAAGCCAATCATGCCGCTAGTCTGTGTTTCAGAATCAGAGAAATCTGTAATGTCTTCTTGTTTGTACTGGGGATTGACTCTAGGGCCTTTGCACTGAGCTACCTCCCTGGCCCTTAAAATTTTTTTTTTTTATTTTGAGATAGGTCTTGCTGAGTTGTTAAATTGCCTAGGCTGGGCTGTAATGAGAGTCCTGGTATTACAGGTATGCACCACCACACCAGGCTCAGAGAGATCTAGAGGTATTCTTTCAACAATTAAATGTTCCTGCCTCAAAGTGATACTATTTCTGCTGACATCCCATTGACCAGAAATTTATGGTTCATCTAACCGTAAAAAGATCAATATATGCAATCCTACTATGGTCAGAAGATGGAAAGCTCAACTTCTCTAAAAATGTGAAAGTAGTTTTGTTCTGGTTGGGAAAATGGACTAAATGACCTTAAAGTTCAGTATTTGCTGATGATCACTGGTAACAATGCAGTGAACTACAAGGTATTTGGAAGGAAAAACAATAGAACTGTATTGCAAGTCTTGCCTCAAGAACATCACTTAAGAACTATTTTTCCACTTTTGGGTTTTTGGTTTTCATTTTAAAATATTTTCAACAATGCCTGTCCCAGTGCCCTGAACACAAATCATGAGTTGATGCTCTAAGTTTATTAAATTGAAGTGAGTTGTAGTTAAATTAATTTGACTCCTAGAAGTAAAATATATAATGGCTACTTTTTCAAAATGATAGCCTTTATTAGCAAATGTGAATTTAATTTTAATTTTAATTAATTAGCATACCAGAAAAATAATAACTAATCATAGGATAAGACTATCTTACCCACTTGTATATTTCAAATGCCTAAAGTAATATATGCCTCTTGAATAAATGAATAGCAATTTTTGTGACTGTTTTAATGTTAAAGAAATAAGACAGTATAGTGGTAGATTTTTTAAAAATTATTTTTTCTATAAAGTACTTTAACTCACTGTTTACAAGACAGACTCTTTGGCGAGGGGTGCATGTGAATCCCTGGGGTTTATCCCCAAATGCAATCAGTCAATCAATAAAAGAAATGAGCTTTTCAGCCAGATCATATGGGTTTGAAATCTGCTTTATCTCTCCATAACTCAGTTATCTTGAATAAGTTCTTTGGCTATTCTTTCTTTGTCCCATGTTTCGCATTGGAGAGATAGAAATAATAATACTATTCATCTTAAGGGATTAGTAAAAATGATGAAATTATACTTTACAAGACATAGTATAGAATAGAACTAGCACATAGTGAAGGTTTGGTAAGCAGTATCTGCTGCTGTTGTGGTTATTATTTGTGCCTTGTACTACACACTTAGTGTAAACTTTCTAAATACGCACACTAAGAATAGTAATGAACTACAGAAATGAAATATGCAACACCAAGTAGAACTATGGCTTTCTGAGATTAGTCTTAGATTAATATTTACTGTAATTTTGAAATTTATTTATTTCCAAGTTTTGATGAACAATTGTTATGTTACAAAGATCTCTTAATTTGTTTTGTACAGTGTGAATAGCCAATGGGAAAAATAATGAGTAATGAGGACCTCCTTCTGTTTCACCCTGTGTAACACAAGAAAAGATAATAGTTTCCAAAGATGCACAACAGCACTGAACCTTCTTTATAATCTCTGCAAAGGGGAAGAGAATATCCTAAGAAATTTTGAAAAGTTTTTAAGGGAAGAAAATTAGGAGAACTACCCCAGTTTTAAAAATAATATAAAAGACTAGACAATATGATCTGTGATAGTGAGGATCAATTTGATCATGCTTTCTGCTCTGTTGCAAGAATCTATCACATAGTAGGTGTTTTACAAGTGATATGTGAAGCAACTGAATGATTATTGCAGAGAATTAGTACTAGTGCAATCTATAAATGAAAAGTAGGTCACCTTACATGCATCTTTGAAGTTTAAGTACAATCACACTATATTTCTAAAGGAGGAAGGATTCAAACCATAGTATTAGAAACAAGACTGACCTTTCAAATGTTTCTTCTCTCTATCCCAGTATGTTATTTTAGGGAAAGCAAAATATTTAAAAACAAGAATCTTGAGCATATTTCTTCATTAAATCTCAGTCTGGTGCTGAAGACGACATATTAAACCTGTTCAAAAAACTTGGAAGGTTTTGGGGGTTTAAAATCATAAATGTCTCTATTGTATCCCCAATATATTCTATTCCAAGATTTAGCAAAATTAACAAAGAGAATTAAATTAGTATAAGGCTAATGATAGTTTTTGTTAACTTACAGACTGAAAGAACATTAAGAGGTAATAAATAGCATACATTTCATTTTCCTATTTACTGTTAGAAGCCTAACACCCATTAACACTATCAATATTTTGCGAAGTATTTTTTTCTTTTGTTTCTCCTTTCTTTCTTTACTGCTTTGGCAAATGAATAGAATCAGAAAATGCTCTAACATAATACATCAGGCAATATAGAGTTAAAGCACTGCTTGAGTTCTTTAAGAGTTAGGGACAGATATTAGAATTCACAGGCACTGTAATAGGAGGTAATGTCACTTTAAGACATGTGATACTTTAGAGAGGAGGGATGTATTGAAACAGACTACTGCTACTTACAGCACCGTATAGCAGCCCAGCTCTTACATTTCCCTGCCTAACTCTGCTGTGAAGGCACGGAGTGGGGATGGTCCATTGGTGACTATAAACTGATTCTCATCAGGAAGCTGCACATTATCTCACCATCACTTCAAAGGTCTCGTCAGGCAGAGGTGACGCCAGGAGATGATTTAAAGGTGAAAATGACAAGGTTTCCACCCCTCAAATGTTGGCTCCTTTTCTGACAATACGGTCTGAATGAACCTGATGTCTTCTTTACTGTGGAAATAGGATCGGAGAGAAAAACATTTTTTTATTCCTGATAAAGAAGATTGTTGGGAAGCTCTTTTTTTAAAATCTCATAACTGTGACATAGATGGATTTTAAAAAGTGTTAGATCTTTCCAATGAACACTAATAGAGTACTCTGCTCTTGGCTGGATTTTTCAGGTAAGAAGCCTCTTTAAAGATTTAAGATCCAGAAAGCAGATTTGAAACATACTCAGCCCTGTCTAGGGAACTGTTCAAGGCTGGATGTATTATTTGGGGGAAAACACTAACATCGGAACTACCTCTCTGTAGAGAGTGAGCACAGAGAGAGATAGGCAGGAGGCTCAGAAGTAATGCTGAGAATTAAAGAAAGTTAAATGCGAAGAGAGAAAAAAAGGAAAATATAAATGTCAAGTCACAATAATTTTTTTGAGGGCTAAGATCTATGTGGGTAAAGAAACAAGCAAAAGAAAGCAGAGTCATTGAATAACAGTTAAGTTTTCATTGTGGTGGGATTTTTTTAAAGTTTTGATTAATTCTTAGTGCATTTTAGCAGTGATTCTCTTGCAGGAAATGCATGCCGATCACTTGATCATCTCTGTTTGTCTTTCTGTAATTTGCAGGGTACTCTGAAAAGGCCCTAAAATGCATTCATTGTAGAAGTCACAGGAGGGGTGTTGCTATTTTTCCTCTGTGGAGGAGAATGCATTTATGTTATCCCAATAGTTCTGAAAAGAATGAAGTAAAGTCTGCTATACACAAAAGTAAACAGTGGGCAGTGAAAGTAATTAGAGAGTGGTCCCTCTGAATCACCAAGAGGGTACCAATGGCACCATGCTATTGAAAACAATGTTTTTCTACTTTGTGCTTAATTATAATTATCACTATTTGTCTATTATAGTCCCCAAACCCTCTATCTCACTTCTAAAACCCACAAATTATCCTGTATCATGTGCATAAATATATGTGTATAATGTATATTTTTGCTTTCTGAGCATCATAGTTTTTTTAAGAGTGCCAATTTTGAATAAAGAATGAGGCTACCCTGGGAGGTCACTAGCACGTTTTCAATGTATAGTTGCAATTATTGAAGGGTATCATTTGGCAGTGGAAAGGAAAACAAGAGACAATCTTGTTTCCACTGCCCTCTTTGCTTAAGAGAAAAGCATATAGTTAACCAGATTCTTGTGTAGAAAATGCCTCCAATCACTGGCTGAGTGAGGATGAAGCTTCAAGTTTGATTAATTTGGCAATATGAAATGCAGCATAAGGTGTTGTTTGAGAAATTGGACAATATGTAGCGCAGTTGAGCCTCTGTAGCTCCTAAGATTCTCATAGGTACAGATAAGAGTGTCAAAGTTTCAGTGCCTGAGAAAAGGTATATGTTCATCCATAAATACATGCACCACCTGTATATGCATATTCATCACTCCCATACAGCAAATGCCACAATGGAACCTTAGGAGGCAAAGCAGTATTGTAAATTACAGCAGGCTCTAGGATAGATGCATAGATCTTACATCTGAAACTCATTCTGGCTGAAGATAATTCTTTCTGATTTTAAGTCCAGCCAGAAAGATCAGATATATCGGATGACAACATGCCTCTGAGAAATGATTACTTAGTTTAGAAGACAGCATTGAGATTAAAAATTCATGACTGTAGAATTAAAAAAAAAAAAAGAACCCACTTTCTCCTTTCAGGCTTATGTCAGACTTGCAATGAAGTTAGAATGAACCAGAGTCTGCAGCTTTTCAATTCCTGAGATAACTATAGTTTTCAGATCATTGTGTAAAGTCAGGTTTTTAGTTGGCATGTAATGTTTCCAACTGCCTAATTAACAGAAACTTTATTTTTGTATTTTGGCAATCCTTGGAATTTTATTTTGCAGAATTTAAAAAATGCATTTATGATCTTCTGGAAAGGGTTTTGCCTCAATTCCAGTTCCTGGCATGACCTCTGCTGGATCGTTATTTCTCACCAGCCAAGTAGCAAAGGAACATGACGTCTGAGACCTCCCTTTCTTCATCAGTGGGGCTGACTGAGCTGGGGGTTTGAAACCAGGGGTGACCTTTTGTGTCTCATGTTCTCTTTAGAGAATGGCAATGGTCTCTGCAATGTCCTGGGTCCTGTACTTGTGGATAAGTGCTTGTGCGATGCTGCTCTGTCATGGGTCGCTTCAGCATACCTTCCAACAGCACCACCTGCACAGACCAGGTAAGGCGGGGCTGGCTCACTGCAGCCTCCTCCACGTTCACCCCTGTCTCCTTAACAGATGGCCGAGTGCAAGTGACAGAAAGTGCTACAGTGTGGGCAGCTGGCCTTTGAGTCTCAAGACATATTGTTGGCTGGGAGCTCTGGGGGCAGGAGAGTATATGAAAATGCCTTAGAGGTCTTTCTATTTATTTCTCCAAAAAGTGGCTTTCTCTAAGCGACCCCTCCACACCCTTCCACATACCTGGATAAATAGAAGTCTTTTGTTATTTATGCATGCTTTGGCCAATAGCACAACATTCTGCAAAAGGTGGTAGATAACTTTTAAGACTTGAGGATTTTTTGGGGGGGGAGGGTATTATCTTTGCATGTTTACTTCTGGAATGCTCTCACCTAGTGCAGATACTATAACATCAGTTTCGATGAGGCTAAGGATTGTGTTACAGATGTTAGTCCTCAAACTAACTTTAGAAGTTGTCAATGAAAAAGAAATTCAAAAGTGACTTACTATTTCTTGTCTGATTTAATTGGCCTTCTTTCTTTTCTCCCTTCACTTTCTGTTCTTCTAGCATGTTCAGTAGCTTTTTCTTTTGTTTCTCTCTCTCTTCCTCGTTTCCTTTCTAAATTCTTTTTTATTTTTGTTCTCCTTTTTGGCAGTTTTAGGAAAAAATTTCTTCTCGTCATTATTTTTTGTTTTTCCTACATAGAATTTTTAGTTCTGGACTCATTTTGCTTTCGTTGTCTGCCCATTTAAAGCATATTTCTTATCCTTTGCTGGCTTTTCTCTTCGGGGTAGATTTTTCTCTCCTCCTTGGAGCGTTGTCCGGTTTTCTTATTCCAGTTCCTCCCAGTTCTATTGTGCTTGCCTTCCCAGGAGGATTTCCTTCCGCGTTCCCTTTAGCTGGGGTCTTCGAATCCTCTCACTCCATCCCCTCCCCCCACCCCCTCCCTGCTTCTGGTGGTCAAGTTCAGCCTCTGGGGACCAGTTGCGCTGAGTTCCCGAAGGTCGTCAGTTCTGAAGAGCTGGGGCCCTTCAACCCCCCTGCAAATCCCTCGCTGTCCTTGTATCCGCCCTGCTTCTTTCTGCTGCGGGTCCGGGGTCCACGGCCCGGTCTCTCCCTGGCTCTGGGGCAGGCCTGAGCACCAGTCGGGGGCTCCACAGCACCGTCCTCGGAGCCACCTCCCGGTCCCCCTCGCTGTCTCCAGGGCGGGCTCAGCTTCCAGTCTGGGGCAGGCTCGCGAGCGTGGTGCAGCCCCGTCCCTCTGCGCGGGCTCCAGGCTGCGGTCCAGAGCGAACCACCCAGGCTGAAGCGCAGGGCGTCAGCGGCCTGTGCGCCCGGGTCCCCAGCCCACTTCCTTCCCCAACCCTGGGTCAGGGAATGAAGGCGAGGGGGCGCGGGTGCCCCTGCAGGTGGGCATGGAAACCGCGCTGTCTCTGCTGCCCGCTTGTATTTGTGCGTCCTGTGTCCAGAGCCTGGCGTGATGGAGGGAACACAACCGTGGATTTGGGGATCCCTGTGTCCCTGTTTTACCTTCAATCACTTAATCACCAATTTGTTCACCAAGAAATGTTCCTGCAGTCATACAAATACTGTGGAAGATCTGCCTTCTTTGTGTATCTCAACAATAAGAATTCATAATGAAAACACCTACTAATGTAAGTAGTTCAGACAGGGTTCTCAGGGTTAATTCACGCTATTTAGTTAAGTCCCTATGAAAGTGGATGTAGTGCCCAGCTCCTTCGCCTCTGGAAAGGGAAATTCCGAGGGCTTGGTTAACTTGTCTTAGGCAGAAAAGCCAGTAGCTGTTCCTGATTTCCCCTCCAGTGCTGTGTCTACGGGAGGGAAAAATGGCCAGGCCAAGTAACCTCGGGGGGGGGCGGGGCATGAATCATGTAATACTCGTGTAATTTGTGAAAACTTCCAAGTTATGGAACACATGGACTCACTCGAGCTACAAACCCATTCTGAGAGGAGACAGAGGTAGAACTGGTGAGGACAGCATATTTTAAGTCTGTCACTTAACATGACATGACCTTGGCCCAGTGGCTTTTCTTCCCTGAGCTTATTTCTCCATTTGGAAATGTGTTGGGGATATAAATAAATTAACTTCCAAGAAAGTATTTGCAAACTGTAAAGTTATTCATAAATATCAGGAATTACTGATGTCCCATTTAATGGATGACAACCTGCAAGTCGGATGTTGAATGACTCCAGTTTTAATCTACACAACCAGGATAGGACCCTAGTTGGTTTTTCTCCTTTGCTGTTGTTTCTTTTTAAATCAGGTGCTACATGGCTAGAACATACCACCAGATGCTGTGGGTGTTATTTTATCCTCTATGTGTGTAATCCGGCAATAGTCCACTTCAGTTTGCAAAAAGCTTTCATGTAGATTGTCTCTAGTAATCAGTTAATGTATGTTTTTTGGTGGGAGGTCATGGCTGTTATGGGTAATAAATTTATGTCTTTCTAGAGATTACTATTAAAATATCGTATTTTTAAACTGAAATTCATATTGGGTTCTGACTGAAATTAAATTCTATGTTTATTTTTTCTGTTGTCTCAGAATTTACTTATTACCAAGCAATGCATAGTCAAACTGTACTTCGGATACCCCATAAACTGTAGCATTGAAATCAATTTCAGCTCCAAGTGCTTACATGTTGGAGACCCATCTTTGCTCCATTGCTGAAAAGAAGAAACTATAAATATCCCTTTTTAGATGCAAAGAGATTAAAATTATATTAAGCTGAAAGTCCGATGGTTTTGGGTAATACGATTATTCAACTTTCTTGGGTTTTGGGGGCAATAACTGCAAAGATTAAAGTGATAGATCTTGGTCATAGCAATATTCTTGATTATTTCAGCCAGACTCCTTAATACAATCTTCTGTTTTTATTTTAAGGGTAAGAATATGCTTTTTCTGATGAGAGCTGTGACGTTTTTCTTTGTGGGTCTTAAATCTTCAGGGACACTAATGAAATGTGTATGAAAACAAGAGAGAAATCAGGGCCAGTTATCTGTGACAATCCACCCCTAAATGAGCAAATAAATAAATAAATAGCTGGATAAATGAGCAAAAAGGAAAAAGCATAATCTCATTTTCTCAATCGGTTAAAACAAGTGACATGATGAAAAAAAATGAGACACCAGCAGACCCTGAGCTTTGCTACATTTGCCTAAACTTGAAAAATCACCCCCTTCATAAAGCAAGAGCAGGCAGACTCCGCCTGCATACCAAGTATCCAGGAAATGTGCAAAATGACAAATTTCTCACTTGGGCCCCTGAACAGGGGGAGATGAAGGCTTTACAGCTGCCCCTCACCTGCTAAGGAATGGCTGCCCCTCCACCTCCCGCCAGCCCCTTCCAGACAGCTCTCCTGTCCCTTCTACAGTAAGACTGACAGTGTTCCAGTCACGAGCAGCCAATTTCAGTCTTTCAGGAAATAATCCACTACATTGACAGATGAGTGGAATTTGAAGCAATGTTCCCCTCTTTCAGACTGGGCTGCACCTGGATGGCATCAGCCAGCCAGGGTCCGTTAGGGGAAATGGTTAGAGATTTAGGCCAATTTCTGCTGTCATACATGAAATTGGAACAGTATTTTTGTGAGGCCATGAATTTGTGATCTGTCTTCTCAGTGCAGTGGGTTTATACACAAAACAGAATGAGAATATGCTAACTAGAAAATGGACTGGTTTTAATGTATTCGCCTGCAGTCTCTAAGTACTTCCTATTTTTCATATTTATAGTATTAGGAATGCACCATTTATTTTCAGTTACTCACTAGTTAAGGAAGATTAAAATAGTCAATCAAATGAAAGTGAGTTTTAAAATTACATAAATGAGTAAAATGTGCTATGGATTAACAGATATATAATTTTGATAATTTAGTATTTGGCTAGATCATGTTTTTATTTGAGGAACGATGTAGGAAGTTACCATAACAACTTGAAGAATATCTGTGCCTCTTCCTCTTTTTTATTTTTTTCATACTAAAGCCATAGCAAGGACACTGAATTTAAATAAGACAGACTGAACAATGATAATTTAAAAGTGGTATTCCTATTGTTTCAGGTAATTAAAATAGACAGCTTCAACTCTTTATAATTACCAGTGTTTGTGAACAGGGGAAAAAAAGGATGAAATTGCCAAATGTAGCTTTTAATTTGAGTTGTTTGCCTTTATGGAAATATAAATTATGACAGGTGTTTTAATGGTTACTTAATTTTGGGTGTGTGGGTTGGTGTGTGTGGGGTGTCCTTGAAACTTAATAAAACATGGATTATCTCAAAATTCTTTAGCAAGAAAAGAGTCCTCAGGATTCTTTTGTAATTTAAAATTGCATAGATAAATTACAAGAGACAAGAAGTTATAAGTATCTAATGAATCATTTATTCTTCAGTCACTGCTATTTTATTGACGGGGTTATATGAAAATGATATATAAAAAGATTACACTGAATAGAATTGTCTATATAATTTATACTTGACAAGATTTAAAGCTATATTAAGCAAACTATGTATGTTAGAAGTACTCATTTATGACTTCATTATTATATACTGAACATCACCATCTACTTTAAAATACGGTATTTTTTGTTAAATAACTCAGAAATATGCCTAGACACCTTACATTTATTTTTACCTTTCCATTCAACACTACTTTTTAGAAAATGACTTAAGGAATATGCATTAGAATACCAAGATGCATTACAGTTAAGGGTTGTTTTATACTTTTAATATAAAAGAAATAGTGTGTACAACTGTGGTTGCATATTGGCTTTTTAACAATTCCTACCCAAGTGAGGTCGCTAAGCATAGTGAATTGGTCTAAAGATTAGAGCAGACAGGTTGTTATTTTGTGTAAACTGGGGATAGTAATAATCCATTGATCATCTGATGGATGATATTGACCTCATCCTAAAGTCAGAGTGCAGCTATGGACATTTGATAAATCTTAAAATATCAAAACAAAGTAGGGATGAAAATAAATTTCTC